AGAGAGGACATTGTTTAGTGTGAAAAGGCAGTTCTTTTTTAAATAATGAAAATTCTATTATAAAGTCATATTAGTATTTTTATTGATTTTTGTTGTTTATTGTTCTTTTTATTATCTTTTTTAGTAATCACTTACAATGTAAGAGTTGATCACYAGAGTGATTTGATATTGATTTTCATAATTATTTCCCCACCAATAGAGGAAATATACATATGCCTTGGGYTGGTATTGAGAGCTGTTGTTATTATTATTAGCATTGMATTTTCCTGCATAAATAAATGATAAGCAAATAAAGCAAAAACAAACAACAKTTTTTATTCCAAATGCTAGTGTTGTTGAATAATAAATGATGAACGTCCTCAGCTAGTGTTTTTAGTTGTTGTTGCTTTTGCTGTTTTACCATTAAATAACATTTTGTACATGTASCTGTAGCTGTGTCATCTCGACCAAATGGGGCACCATCAGCGCCAACAGCAACAAGGAATTCATTTTCCTTTTCATTAAACCAATGGATGCAAGGAACTTTTGAGTGCAGAAATAGATACAGATCAGCCAAGCGGAGCAAAAATGGCTTTAAAGGTCTAAACATGCCAGGAACTGGGTCCAAGGAGTACTTTGAAGCAATTGTGTCTACATCTTGCACCTCACCAATATCAATACTTCTTATAAAGCTCATTAATGCCTTGTAAGGTAGAAGCTTTGGAACTGGACAGTCTTTCATAAACTCAGTTGATCCTACTTTCTTTTTTGTTTCGGTATTTTTAACAATGTCTGAACAATTCCTAACTCGAGTATACTTTCGTGAGCTAATCAGACCTCCCTCATAGAGTGCACGCATACTTCTTGTCTTATTTCCATCACTGCCTTCATATCTTTTTACAGCTTCTTTAACCATCTTTGGGATTATTTTGTCAKTACAAAGCTTGGATTTCTCAATATATGTTCTCATCTGATCTTCAGAAGTTGTAGCAATAAGTGTGGTCCACAGACCATCCAATATAGGAGTGATGTCTTCATTTTGAGCTGCAGACCAACGGTCGGTTCCACAATGTATAGGCTTAAGTGCGGCAATGGTTTTCTTCTTTCGCAAAAAAGACTGGTTCCTTGACAAGGTTAACTTTTCACTGGAGTCTTTTGTGATTGTGCTTGAGATGCTACATAATTTTTTTGGAACCTTTGGTGGTAGCCTTACTTCAGCATTAGTGGTATCGATTTCATTATTCTGTTGATAAAAAAGAACAAATGTGATGAAAATGAATTTCAAAAATGGTTATTGGAAATATTTGATTATTGAGATTATGACTATACAGTGTATATACAAAAGCTACATGTATGATTACTACAGGTTCTTATATGTGCACTTRTGTTTGATTTTGCAAATAAAACTATGCAGTAAGGTCTACACAATTACAAATGATAGTCTAATACCCATAAAGGCCACATATGCATGCATGAGATAGCCAAGACTACACACATGTATTTACTAACCTTTCTTTTTCTTCTCCTCAATGTTTCTTCTTTGCTGTGAAGCAACTTCTGTAATCGATGTATTTGATCATTCAAGCACAAAATCTGCGTATCTAGTTCGCTTATTTGACTTTTTAAAGCAACAATAGTTTCATCTCGCTGAAGTTTAGTTGATAATAAGCATCTTATTTCTTCTTTTCTTCTTCGGTTGAATTCTGCTAATGGAAAATGCTTCTTTCGATAGTTCGTAGCTGCCAAGATTGCAGGGTCGGGACTGAAAGCAATGGGATTTTTTTTTCATTTCAGTCTCAAGTCAAACAAAAAATGRATTTTTCAGAAGAATAATAGTTCAGCTAAAATCGTATGGCAYTAGAATTTTAAGTCAGGCATTTGTAAAGCGAAAATCTCAAAATAAACTCACCTAATATTTTCATCAATAACAGCTTCCTCCAACCCAATCATGCCATATTTATATGGACAATTTCAAACGCAATTAGAAGCAAAATCCATAGTTTTTTGGTACCAAATGCGAGTCCAAGTGTCTAAAATGACAAAAATGGCGGYCTTTSGTGACGAGTTAATGCCTAGTCTTCCAAAATATGAATAATTTACGGCCTTTTTTGACCGAGATAACCAAAGAATGACTCCCAAGGTCCTTTGCGACCTTGAAAGGCGCCATTTTGAATTTTTTTAACCACGCGACAATAGTACAGGGGAGGGGTGGTGCGGCCGCGGCGTGTAGACCTGTAATTTTCTTTCCCTGCTTTGAAAGCTCTTTCTTAAGATTCTTGTGAAAGAGAGGGAGGCTGTTCTTCTTAATTGGATCGTGGATGGAAGCGGACCGTCTTGTGATTACTTTGTCAACATAACTCTTATACTGTTGTACACCAATGTCTTCTATGGTCTGTAACGATTCTACCACTCTGACATCTGCACAATCTCTGTTATTTAGGGTAACTTATTCGGGAAAGTCGTCGAGGAAAGGATTACCTGTTCTTCGAATAACATCACATAGGTTCTTTACTTGAAGATGGAATGCTTTCTGTGCTGCGTGACCTGTCTGGTGGTTTTGGAAATACTTTGGATCATCTGGGTCATAGTCTGTGATGAACTGTTGATCGAACTGTTGTATGATTCTTGAAAGTTCAGGACCTGAGAGCATCCACCTTCTGCGAAAACGAAAATGCAACTTAGTACAAAATTTGCAGTTTTGTCCCCTTAGCCAGGTTAATGTCATAGTTGATCTAGCCCCCCATCCTTATTGTAAGATTACCAGTGGTAGTGATTACAACAAAGTCCAAGGAATGATATTTCCAGCTTATGGAAAAAGCCATGATTGTGTAGCTTTTAAGACATACTACAAACATACCTGAATGCTACAGGATTCTCTGTTAGACCAACAACTCCACCATCACCTTTTACTAGTTTGTTTTCCTGTTCGTGTACTTGATCCAGGGGAATTGAAGAGAATCTCTTCCCTGTTTTGCTGAGTACCCAATGGTGATGTTCAAGGAACTCATGTTTGATCGATTCTGGAAGGGACTTATATATCTCTGATATGATTCGAAACCCAACGCGCATAATTAATGTGGTCGAGTGCAAAAAAATAGTGGAACCAGTTGCTCTAGAACATTAACAAAAAGAGCAAAGTCTTTTTCTCTGTGTGCACGGACAAATATGAGTACCAGAGTCTCATATTTCATTACCAAGTCCCAAAAGTAGAATGTTGGACTTCTCTTTTTTTAAATATCTTCCCAACTTGAAAGCGACACTTCGGTGTTACCATTAGCACAATAGATTAAGAATGGTTCTTCTYTCGATTTGTGCATTGCTAGTTGGGTAACTTGGTGTGCATGCCTGCATAAACAATGATATGTTACATTAGGCAATTTCATTTTGTGATAAAGATTAGTCTTTTTAGTACTTACCTGGTCCTAGTAAGATGGGATGCTTTGAGTGGACTCTCTTCTACTCCTGATGAAGCGATTTCAGCTTCTGCTAGAACACAGGTCCAGCCACTTCCTTCAAGCAAGTCACCAACAGTATTCCATAAAGCCATTTCTAGGTGTAGCCCACCAAACATAATAACGTACTTGTTTTCACCATAATCATCAGGCCACTTCCACTGAATAATTGCTAATGCAAACAAAGGCTGATCTAGTGTTAACACTGGTACTTGGCCTTGGTTAAGAAATGATATTTCGTCTCTCAAGACATCCATGCCATGCTTGGTCATAGAGGGATTATCTGCCTTTTCATAAAATAGAGGGAGTAGTGCCGTTATCCCAGGCGAATCCATAATGTGTTTTTGGTTCTTTGAGTGGTAGGCAGGCCATGCTTTAAAGTCGTCAGTGTCTACGGTGTCTTTGCATAGTTTTGGTAGCGCGTGCCTGACCCAGCGGTCCTCTTGCTCGATCGCCTCATCTAAGCTAASATTTCCTTGAACAGGTCTTGTGTTGGAGGCTGGTACTGAAACGGAACTTACATTTAATCCCACAGCTGGTACGGTTGCATAGCTTTCTGGTAATTCGTGTTGGACAGTACTTGATGGAGGAATAATTAATGGTGGTCCACATTGGGCAGGATTAGCACTTGAAGGAAATTGGAATATTCTTATTCCTGTCCCATGAAATGAGGACACTGCTGTAGTGGATGATGTGTTGTGGTCGATGTTATCAAGTGCACCCACAGAAAAAAATCCTTTTCTCAAACTAGTGGGTGAAATACAGCCGTCTTCCTTGAAACGCTCAGTGAGAGATGTTTTCGATCTCCAGTATCCGATCATATGAAATGCAAAGGCCCAATTGATACATTTTTTCTATAAGCTCTATGTAAGCTCAGTCCTATATACAGTGGCAGTGGCGGCTCACGAGCTGTTGAATGACGTGTTTAACCAGTTTTGGAGTTGACAGATCTCTTCATGGCATTAAAGATAATAGTTTCACAAATAGTGAGGCAAGCTTGGCTGTCAATCATCATCATCATCATTTATTATTCATTTCGACCACACAAGAATACAGGATATATTACAATATAATAGCTTAACGTGTGATAATTCAAGTTGAAATATAATTTTTTAAATTGATCAAAATAAAGGTACTCTTGGATGGTAGGCAACTCAAAAGGAAACCAAAGGCTTATATTTTTGAGCTACCTATTTGATTACAAGAGAGAATATCAAAGTATAATACAATAATTGGTGTAACAGCACAAAGGCAAGATGTTTACAAAAGCTGGACAAGATAAGATGTAGATTAATTAAGAATGTGTACAWTATATATGTTTTATGTTTGATAGATTACATTTATATGAAATTAAATTATGAATACAAATTAAAATTACTTATATGACAATATTATTTGCTATTGCATGATATAAGTYAATCAGTAACTTACAGAGCTAGTTCAGTTTGTTACTGATTAAACTTAAATAGAGGATTTAAATTCAATGCAGTTAGGACTGGCAACTTATAAGATGCTCCTTTAGATTCAATTTAAAACTTGCCAAGGAGGAGGCAGATTTTAATTTGGAGGGCAAAGAATTCCATATTTTAGGCCCTTGATAGGSTACAGTAAACAGTCTAATATTCGTTCTGCAAAGCTCAGGTCTAAAGTCATTACAGCGTCTTGTAGGATAGGAATGAAATTTAGAGTTTTTGGTGAACATACGAAGAAAAGTGCTTGGAAGAATCCTGTTTTCAATGGAGAACATAAAAAGACCTAATTGGTAGGAGTGAATATCATCTATTCTTAATATTTGATTTTGAGAAAATAGAGGAGAGGTATGTTCATCATAAGCTGAATTAGTAATGATTCTTACTATGCGTTTTTGTTGTATTCTTAATCGATACAGATTAGTCTGGTATGTAGAGCCCCAAATGATATTGCCATAAAATAAGTATGGGTATACCAAGGCATAATAAAGCATAAATAGTGATTTTTTAGATAAACAATGTCGAGTTTTGGAGATAATTCCGATTGACTTGGAAATTTTACTAGCAATAGTGTTGATATGCTCTTTCCAAGTTAAGTTTTCATCTATGATAACACCCAGGAATCTGGTATTTGATGTACGTTTGATTGTTGTGTTTTTGATCTTCAGTGAAAATTCATTGTTAGTAAGTCTTTTTTGTCTGGGTTTGAATATAATGTAATTAGTTTTCTTGAGGTTGATTGATAGTTTATTTGAGGTTAGCCAGTCTGTTACTTTTTCTATTTCTTGGTTAAGAGTATTTGATAGGTAATTGATATTCTTGCCAGAGTAAAACACGTTAGTGTCATCAGCGAACATTATGAATTTAAGAAGGTTAGAAGAGTTGGCTATATCATTTATGTACA